TTCGGCTCAGGAACGCCGTCTTCAGTTGACCACATATGTTAGTCGCGACTAAAATTAGGGCTAGGGTCCTAAACATTTTTCGTAAACAGTTCATGTCTTTTATTCCCTTTAGGTTGATGAAGATAAACGGTGATCGCTATCACCTTGACCATTGCCGCTCTCTTCAGATCCACTTTCCTAATATTATTCGGCACATAACATAGGAGAGTTTCAGCTTAACTGTACTTAATCATTTTTTTTATCGCTCTCAATGAAAACCAACTTTAAACGAAGTACAATTCGTCTCCCACCAGCATAATTTCGAAGCTGTGAAGAACAACGTGGCATTCTTATGCAGTAGAAATTACTCAGAACCGTAAACGAGGAACATCATTATAACCTAGATTGTAAAAGGCCTTGGAACATCAAGTGCATAGCTGTGGCTGAGACAAAGTGACATATTGTATAAACAGAAAAATCACTTATGCCATCGGCAAACTATCTGACAGCCGTATGACTTGAGCATGCGATAGTAAATCCTCCGTTCTTCCCTGCTGCGTACAGAAGCAGCTAAATGGGTTCTGCTCGCACTAAGCATTTGCTGACCGTCATGTATTTCTTCCAGGGTTTTCGTGAGGAACGCCGAGCATCAGGTCGGTGGCCTTTCTGCTGTGTTAGACATCCCAAGAGATCCAGTCACTAACAGCTATTGTCCATTGGATGTCGTTCATCGCCGTCTATTCAACGATGTCGCGTATAGAATGGAATCCGTAATTTTTGACTGTTGACGTAGTTTGGAACTTCGCATCCTCTCCCTCCTTGCGTGCTGCGGGATACTCTCAGCATCGTTTTCGACTGCGCGTTCCGTAAAGCTGAGCAATTTTTCATCTCGTTTACGTAGTGATCATTATTTTGTCCTCTCCCTGAAAGCAGGAAGAACCACGACGTAGAAAGGCAGGCACGTAGTGGCGGGGGTGCTGTTTTTTCTCCTCACTACATCTCCGATGTTGCTGACAGCTACCCAAGCCATTCGCTTCTTCCTGTTCAACTCCGAAGCTATCTCGTTTATTATGTTGACGTTTCGACCTAGATAGACATAACTGGAGCACTCGGAGATATTCAATAAGTTGAGCGTAAATCGAGCATCGAAACCAATTCTAATGAACATCGCTTTTGCGAGATTCTACGCGTCCTGCTCAACCTATTTTCGATATTTTTAAACTAACCATTTAATCTTAACTCTTTTATTTACTGCCTTTTTCTTCTTAATGGCAGGTTATGTTGCGAAAAGTGGGGAACGAACACGCGCTGTTGTCCTTACCGGGGAGCAGCGCACTTCACCACTACACCACTACACCTAACCATTTAATCTCGAGATCAATAACCAATGCCTCCTTCGATTATTGAACTAACGCAAGCATACCGAACATTCTCAATAGCTATCGAATATTCCCTACGTTTACATTATTTCTGTTAGCTATTCTTCATCGAACATGCATTTGATTTGCACTGCCAAGTCATCTCCATATAGCATAGTCCTATGCAACACCTTTCACAGAGCTCCCATCTGCCGTCTTTTTGGTCTTTTTTTATGAACGCATTCGCGGCTGACGTACTGTACATTGAATCTGCCACATCAGCTGCCACTGCTTTAAAAAGTTTTTGCGCCTGCTCCTCAAACACACAGCATACCGTGTCTTCAACTACTCTAGCTAAGCTCCACCTAACCTAGGAATATAAACTGCTCCGTCAACTTTCAGCTCTTTCAGTTCGTCCATTTTGGTCCAACCAGTGCTTTTCCAATTCTCAATCTTCGTCTTGTATCGTTAGCATTGTACTGTTATTGTTGTTATTACTATCATAAATGGCTACAACTCAATGTCTCAAAGCGTTCGGCACAGTAACTAATACACCGAAGTCCCGCGTTGCCAATATAAAAGTCGAGCAGTCAGTTAGATTAATATTCAGAACTACGTGGTATTCTTATAACTATGGGCGTCACCGCGACAAGGTTGATAAAGAAATTTTATTTGGCTGCCATTTCAACGTCTTCGTCTTCTTAAGTGCCGGATTCATCCAAGTCGACCATCCATCCTCCTCGCGATTTGCTTGTACGTTTTCGCATCGAGTCGAATCCAGTTAATGTGGCATACCGATCGAATGAAGAATTGTTTTCAACGGGTTCAATTTTACTCTATTGTTCCACACTCTTCGGCATATCTCTCGTCTTCATCCAACTCGAAAGTGTGGATTTATAATCTTTTAAAAATGTGGAACAACACTAGCTCATTCTCGCAATTTTATAAAGCTTCATAAACAATGACAGTGTACTTCAGTAGGACAAAAGCGTAATCATAGTGAGTTCTTTCTTTAGAACTTTTATGTCTTGCAAACGTTCAGACGAGCAGCACGCATCGCCTGACCATCTACGTCTTTGATAGCTCTGCTAGCCGTTTGCTTAACCGTACCAGTGGATATCCCATGGAAGAAATTTATATTTTTGACGAGATCACTCAAAAGTCATCCTATTGAACTTCCATTATCTACACTTGTACCGTCTAGATGCAAAAATTACAGCGACTCTCGTGCTTCTGGAAGTAGTGGAAGACGAATAAAACAATACCCTGGCCATCTGGATCAACTACCTTAGTAATCCCTGCTACTAGCACATTTTTTGTGAACACTGTCTCTTTTTAATGTGTTCATGATCATTCGGTGCTGAATTCGACATTCTAAAGAAGTGTGATTCAAATTTATCTGTAAGCTTATCTGTAAACCAAAGCATTTTTGCGGTTCAATGCCGAGGTTCAATCATTGAAATTCGGAGCTGAAAGCTTAAAAAGAAATTTAACGCCATAGAAAAACTATGCACGAACAAATGTGATGAGTTCTTTTATACGTTTGAGAAATATTCAATTTCTCAACTACTTTAGTTATGGAAACTTACCAGCACTCGTCACTGAACCTGTTCGGCTACCAATTTGTCAAGTAGCACATCGCATGTCGCTATTGACTCGACTCTTCCCATGCTGTCGTTTTGAACTCGACATTAAATACTAAGGCAGGCGGAACGACGTGACCTATTTTATGCAATGACTTGAGGTGGCCTACTAATATGTCAAATCAGTGCTGCTGTTCTCGCAGACAAATCCGACGTCAAATTGCCGACGCCAATGAAGTATAACATGACTTTGCTCGTATATAATGGAGACGGGAAATACACCTCTTACTAGTTCTTCCTGCAGCTTTCATGAGTGGTGGTTGCCTAAATGTTTCGCTGACTGGCTCTTTGATAACTCACGATGATTTCTCGGTCGTAAACTACTTGAGGAGTTCAAAACCTTACAGATCTATAGAAGAAAATTTGGTCTGTGATGTTGATCGCAATTTTTGTACAGTGTATCTCCAAATAGAAATATCTTTAGAATCAGGATTTCCAAATAGCCGAAGTTAAAATTACAGCTTTTAAAATTTGAAAAGAAAGAACGGCAGCTCTAAGCATGATTTATAGCACTACCGTGTCCTATTGTTCGTAATCCCCGCGTTCAGTAATTTCAAGTTCCAAGCAGTGTTTCAACGTAAAAAAGTGGAAGCAACATGTAGGTTCCAAAAATACAACCACAGTGCTGCTGAGATATGAGAAAATTCGGAATCCCAGGTGAGCTTCAAACATTCCATTACCCTTTCCGGAGGCCCACGTGTGTTACCCTGCACCACTGATGCAATTGTTTCGCCTTGCTCATACTTAAGAATCATTGTGGTTGTATTACACGTAATGCCTTTCCATGATACGAATAACATTCAGTAAAGAAAAATGTTGTGATTTCGATTGCAGCTTCAGCTTAACTTGATGCAATGGCGACTTGTGCTTTGTAAATAATTCCCGATGACGGGTGATTGCTAATGTTTAGCATCGTTTAAGCTAAAAAAATTGGCCAAGAGAAAGACAAAGGAACGGCCTCAGTGGTGCAGTGAATAAGAGCTCACTTGGGGTTCTAAGTTTTGCTCATATCAGCACCATTGAGGTTGTATTTTACATAATACCCTGCCAAGAAAAAATAATAGGTAGTAAATAAAGGTTAAAAAGCGTGGTTCCAAGAAGTCAATACTAATCTTTGTAGAATATTATAACTGCTTCTTGTGGTCAATGATCTATTGATCCTAAAAGCTTTTACTCTGACCAAGATTTGATACCATAACTCTAACTGAGAGACAAAACCAGCATGTTGGTCTGGAGTTGAAAACCGCCATTAATTTCAAATTTCGCAGGAAAGGCGACGCCCAACTATGAGATCGAAAAAATAACATGGCATCTAATGGCACCACTAATTAACCTGTAAGTTTGTTGTGTTAGCTGAGCCTAGCACATCAACACTTGATGTTGTGGACATGGTTATTCCTTTCAAGTTCTATTTGGTACCCTTTCCTTGTTCCTCTTCCATCTATCCTCACTTTTCCAGCGTTTCATTTATTTGGACACCGTATTTTATCTACCGAAAATTATGCGGTCCTCTGACTAATACCATTTTCAGTTAGAATCATATACCGCTATAGTTCTTAACGCTATGTCCGAATCTCTCGAAACATGAAAATCGCTGTTTTACCGTTTTCAAATGCTGCCTGGAAGATGCTGGATTCAAAGCTTAGATTGCTCTTAGATCATTTCTTTGGAGAAAAGAAATTGCAAAATCGCAACTATGTAGCCGGCAGAGGGGCACCAATCGTCCAGTACAATAAACTAATGGATAAAAAACATTATATAACATCACTCAAAGCAATTAATATAGGTCAATATGTACAGAATTGCAGGAAACGCTTAACAGCTAAGGACAAAGCTGATTGGAGAGGGAAGTCTAAATCGTCATTTGTCACATTGGACGCACACCGCAAAAGCTGTTGCTAAACAGCAGTAAGAACAGGAAAGCGATAGTTTTAACGTACCACTGCTTAAACAGTAATAGAAACAAAGTTTATTTAAAAAACCTCAGGTCCTGAACAACCTGCTAACTGACAATGTTTCCCTATTCCTCTCTGAATAAATCTGCGACTCCGAGCTGAGTTATGCCCTCTTCGAATGGTAGGTTGACAACCTAAACAGCAGAGTATTGTGCGAGTAGTGCTAATCAATCAGGACTAGAACTTACGTCAATGAGGTAACGCATTTCGTCCTTAGCAAACCACTTCTTCTCCTTTGCTTCAACGACAGCCTTAGCAACGGCCTTCTCGTGCTCCCACTCACGGATGTCAGCGTGGTATTCGCAAATCTGACGGTAGCGGTATGCTCCCCAAAGAATACCAAGTCCAAGTGCGGTATACCTATAACTATGCAATACAATACATCGACAAATATGAACAACCAAAGAACCCCTGCCATTCCGATTACTGCAAATGAAGCAACGAAAACTACCTGCCGAAGCGAATCAAAGGCGAAACTGTCTGCGTGGGAGGTGTAAGAACAACGGCATTAGGATGACGAGCTGACATGTCTCCAAACGAATACGGTACAGAACGAAACGAAGAGAAGCAAAAACAAGCCAAAAGAAAGAACAAATAGTATTCTGGGTTTTGCAACTATGAAAAGAAAAGAACGGAGCACAAAAAGACGAAACTTTATAGAACCACAACTACCAAATCCACCATCCATGTGATTAAAAACAAAATGCGAAAATTCTCAAACTACACAGCGCTAATAGTTTCATACAATCACACATCAAGTCAGGAAGCATACAGATCAGATTTTATGTCCTTAATTATTTTTCGGTAGAGCTCAAAGAACGTTCTTCTATTATGAACGCACAACCTCAGCAGCCTAAAAGCGATTTCATAATAGGGTTCTATCTTACTACTCGGTGGGAAGTCTCTTTTACTAGAAAAAAAGCAAAGCCATTATTAGACCTCGCCGTAAAAGCACGAAGTTCGCCCTGAACAACAGATAGGCCCGGCAAAAGCCGACGTGGAACCTCGGCCGGGGATTGAAGTATCTCCTCCACAAATGTAGAAATTCGAGTACCTAGACAGCACATTATATGTAGTTTCAAAAATGTAACAAAAAAACCAACTGGCGGAATCAAAACGGAGTACTGTATTGACCTTATCGAAAAACAGCGGGAGAACAACTTTGTAATAGTTTTCGTTGGCAGTAATCTGTTTGAGACAGGCTTATTGTTAAAAACTTACTTACTTACTTTGATGGGCCGTCTCCACTTGTTGTGCGTGCATCAGCATAATTTCTATTCTCCGGAAACTCTGGTTTAGCCACTGTGGTTCGCTGGAGTACCGAGGACAGCTTGGCCAAAGTCTGCCCCGGGTCGTCACCACCACAGGCAGTCGCAGTCCTTGTGAATCAAAGGGGGATTTGCCATCAAGCGACTAGTTTGATACCAGGGTGGTGGTGGATCTTAGTAATGGTTTACTCTTAGCTGGGTTTCCTGATGGAAACGCCAGAATCATTTTCAGCCTGGAAGGCTCTGTCGGGGGATGAATCCTCACGTTGCACATCGCAGCCCAACAACCAGGAACACCTCCCAACCACGACAAAGCGGTAAACCATTGGGAGGCCAAAGACACACTACCAAATATAACAGCTTCAAGTTGGTTAATATATGAGTTTAATTTGACCTACAATATTTTGTATTATGGATTATTAGGGATTTCTAGAACTTACAAACGAGTTTTCTAATTTTATTATTTTTGTCGACAATCGTTTTCATTTGTTCGCGAAGTGATTGATCGTGCTCGACAGAGAGCACTACCGCTAAGGTTTCTGCTCGCTTTCGTACCATAACAACACACTGCTCACAAACGGCCTCCAAATTCTCGGTGAGAGTCCTGAATAGCATGGATACGAAACGAAATCTAATGATGAGATCACTGAACAAGCAACTGGCAACCACTTTCTTTTCTTCTATATCATTTGTGATGATGATTAGTTGATCCTTTAATGAATTCTTAAAGTCTTCGCTTTCAGAAATCTAGGAACAACGACTTTACACAACAACAAAGTGAGAATAGAACATGAAATGCAAAAAAAAGATATCACTTACCTGCTTTCCTGCAAGGCTACAAGTTATAAACAGAGCACTCGTTACAATATTCATTTGCAGAAACTTCTCCGCTAAAGCGGCCAGTCTCATTTTGTCTATTCGCAAAGTTTCTGGGTATGGTGAAGGATTCTCGGATTCAATCAGTCTATAAGTATTGCCATCGATACATAAAACGGACGGAAACAAAAGATGAAAGCATAAAAGACAGTATAAGAGGCCTTTAACGCTACCTAAGATATCCTCTACTAGTTGACTTCACAACTTCTTCATCGCTTACAGTTGCTGCGTCAACTTTCTCCCGTTTGGCACTAGGAGGCGAGTTTAAGGAACTAGACGAATAGATGCTGTGATAAGCGATCTTCAGCCATTCCTTGGTCATTAGGGAACCATCATAAATACTTATTTTATAGCAAAAATGAAATCGAAAGCATAAGCGAAGTAAAAAGTACCTGGGAATTTCTCCAAGTACTTCATAAATTCCTTATATTCAAATCGAGAACTGTACTGCTCTACGGCAGCACGATTTTTGGAGATCGTGTAGTTCGTTAAATCATTCTTCATGATGTCTATTAGACCAAATATACCTCTAAAACGCACGAAACACTCGCTGATTGTTAGGGATAAATAAAACCACTGCAGACAATTCCACAATACTTGATCATTTCGACAATGCCGTCCTCATGGCGCAATTTTTCAACCAAGGTATCCCGTTCAGGAGCACACAGTCTCCCGAGGAGATCCACTATGAAGCGTCCGACACCATGAACATCCAGGCAATCCTGTTCCATCTTATTCCGCAAAGAATCTAAAATATGATCTTTATAGACGGAAGGAAGGACATGAAAATAGCCAGGTATATTAACCTTTTGAAGAATCAAAGAGTGGTCATTAGCATATATGATCCCACCCATTATTTAAGACAGGTATTTTAATATGAGAGGGGCACATTACGCTTCCATGAGAACTCTGTATGGTTGGTCTCTAGGTGACATATTGAGTGGAAGACTCATAGAAAGCGGTGAGTGTGCAAAAAAGATATTCTGTGCTCGATGTGATTGAAATCTCGGTTTAGCACTTTCTCTGTTTGGTTTGAGGTGTATGGCTGGGTATATTGCCGTCAACTCCACTTTTCCAGGCTCTGAAGAAGGCGAAATTCAAAACCCCACTCATTTCTCAACAAAGCAAAGAATTCAGCAACGAATTCGTACTTACTAATCAAGAAAACAGTGAATTATTGGACAATACCCAGCTTAGTACAAAGTCGGTCTTGGGAAAAAATAAAGAATTGCGATAAAAACCCACTCTCGTCTAAAACTGAGTTTACCTCTGCCCTCAGTCGAACGTGTGCAACAGAAAGAATGTCGTCCAAAATTGTCTAAAAACGATGTGTAGACAAATGACATCAGAAACAAAATAACATACGAAGCCCACTTGCTTGATTTCCATTAAAAGATTAAATGCATGTGTGTAATCAGGAGGATCCTTGGCTAAATCCTCAGACAAGAGGTCCCAGTAGGCCCGATACATATTTTCTCTGAAAACGATCACAAAAAAATTATACGGCATGCAAATGTCAGCCAACAGATTCGAGGAAAAAAGAGATTAGAACACTAAAGCAATGGCACTCACTTGATAGCAGCCTGAATAGGATTCTTCGGAATATCAGAGACGGAAAATTCAGGATCGATAGCGATTTCGTGCACAAGAGCGAGGTTGTCCATTGCAACTGACATTTGCAGTAATTCGTTAGCAGCTACGAACTGCGGAGGAGAACCGCCTGGAAGTCGTGGATTGTCACAAGGTATTTAAGAACATTACAACATCCTGGACCCATTCAAACACACTATGTAGTAAGTTTTGCTAAACATTCTACCTGCAACCCATGACGGCAGCAGCGGAACACTTTGCACATGGGACGATGACGGAACGTCGACTGAATCCTTTTCGGGCAATTTTCGCTTCTTCAAGTCAGTGCTTCGGTTGTCTTCAGTAGTACTGTGGTCAACATGGGATTCGCTCTGAAAATCCTCCGAAGGCTCATCATCTCCTTGATCCATGCTGTTCTAAAATCATGCTGCTTGATTAAAACAGGTCTCTACCGTTCTACGGCCTTCTTCCGAAATGACTATGCAAGCAGTTATAGACATATAAAATGGTAAATAAAGGGTAGAGCTCCCAGCGTTGATTAATCCCTGAGATATGCACCATGCATTCGATTTTATTAAGCATCGTTTGGAGCTGAATGGATATCTGACCTCCACAATGACTCGGGTTGGCCTACCGACGTATTGAACCAGTGTTAATATCCTCACAGACAAGTCTGGAACCAATCTGCGGATCCCAGAGGGATGTAAGGCTTGGTGACACAGAGGCATGAAGATCGATCCCAAGTGTGTATTGCAGGCCACCTCCGATATGTATATAAATATACATATATATACATATATACATACATGTATACACGTATATATATGCATATATAAAGTATAGATATATGTATAGCCTAATGCATGTGCATGAGTACAACTGTTCCAAGAATTTCAGTGTTGTGAACCACATAGGGTGGGATTGCTCAGCATAACATAGGCTTGTATCATTAGACCACCCAGGATGAGGAAACCGGTCCTGCTGGCTCACTGCTTATAGCGACTGTGATGACAATTAGACGGTGCGTTTACTTGAGACAACGAGTAACAAAGTAACACCTTACTAAACCATGTTTCACTCGACGCCAGCGTTATAGGTTTCCTTAAATTGTTCAGACTGCTCGGCTGTTGCTCGTGTAAGCTGCACAATGTGAGGAACGCTACTGACAACCAACAAGTTCATAACGAAAATCACACGAACAATGAGTAAGACCTTGCACAGAAGTACGATCCTACACACATCCTACATTGATCGCTGCAACTAAGGATTTCCGCCGACGACACGTCGCGGAACAACGGCGGTAGAGAGTAGCGGTGAAACTCGTCCGCTAGGAGACGGCGAGAGGATGAACGCAGAGTGACCGGTTGACTGTTAAGGTAAGGATTCTACTTATTCCTTGTTGATTCAAGGTACTCGTTGTTCGTTACTCTTTTTGTTTTCCTAAGAGTTCTGTTAGTAGTCATAAAATCGGCGAAACCCCTAACACGCGATCTCGTCACCTACAGGACTCACACTCTGCGAAAATAAAGCCAGCTTTCAAATTAAAATCAGCATATCTCGGCTCGTAATAGATTTTTCCATTTGCGCTAGAAACTTTTGGGACCTGCTGGTCTTTGCCTAGTGGGCAGAGGTTCTCTTATTTCAATGCGACGAAATTCTGTCCCACTAGGACTCGTGACCCATATAGTTGCTTTTACACTATTATCAAGAGACTCATATTTCAAACACGAAAACAAACGAACTTTTCAACCGCTGGTGTTCCGCTGAAAGGCTTAGAAACCTAAGTTTCGTTGTCTTCTTCCTGGAATCTTGAGTTCTAAGCGTTTTTAAATTTAAAAAGAAGCTGTGTAAAAACCTTATGTACGATTAATACGATAAAGTAGATTCTCTGCTACAGATTTAGTTCTAAACTGCTAACTCCTCGTCTGGCAGTGGAGTAACCCTCAACTACTGAAAACCAGTTTTATCGCCTTTAAGTGTTAAGTGGACTTTACCAGTAATGTGGTCGAACTATCCTATAGTCGTAGAGACTGACTGTGCTTGTGTTGTGTTCGCTGGTCACTGTATTGACTATTGGAACTTCCAGCGATGTTGTTATGTGAAGACATGGTCCTATGCCTAAAAAATTTTCGTCCTGCGATAGCATTTAACGGTAGGGTCTGTTTTTTTAGCAATGGTTGACGCTTCTTCGACCAATGGAGAGTCAACAAAGAAGAAGGTCCTACCAATGGAGTGCCTTCAACGTCTTCAAAAGTTCGATGAAGCATTGACTGCTCTTGAAGTAGCGCTTGAACCTGTCCTCAATGTCGGTTTCGATGACCACATGAAGGTGAGTTGTGTTATTTATTCTAGGCTCATCATAATTTACTACAAACTATTACCCTTTCTAGCGGTCAGGCCTAGGATTAGTGCAGATCGATGTGATGACGATGTTTGTTATGAACTCCTTAGGATGGTGTTTAGTGGCTCAACATGGAAGAGATCCAAAGGATAATGTGCAACTGGCGGATGAACTAGTATGTTTTCAGAGTTATGTGTATTCGAAATACTCACGGGACCTAATGACTCGAGTTTTGAGTTTTTACGCAGTGATCGGAGGCGCTAGATATGGGATTGATCCTGCACCTCAGTTTCACCAAGCCTTTCATCCATCCCGGCTCGCCAAATTGGTACGATACTTGTCTGGGAGGATACCAGCACTGACTCTATACATCGGTAGGCCACCGTGAGTCAATGTAAAGGCTAGATATGCACTCAGTCACCTCCAATGATGCTCAATGAAGTCGATTGCATGGCGCATCCCTCACGAATTGACAACGCCCAGAGCTTTATCTTTTTGTTTTTTACTTACGCCAGGAGCAGTTTTGGTTGAAGTTGGCGATACTCTTTTTGTCGAGTCACCATTGCCTTTTCTTTTTTTTCTCGAAGTTTTCGTTGTTTTGTTGTTGTCTTTCACTGATACGTTGTTCCAGCGACGTACGAAACAGTATGTCGAGAGATTGAAATCTATTGAAACTCGAAAAAGCGCACCAGGGCTCAACAAACGAGTTGCCAAGGTAGGATCTACATGTTACTGCGTTACTTTGTTTTAGCTGTCTTTTTTCTAATTCCGTGCTGTTATCCAGGCTTTCGTTAGAAATGCACTCTGGGATGTCCCCAGTAAACGCTCGAGACACGAAGTTGACATGCCGGAAGAGAGTCCTTCAATCGATGAAGAGCAGCAGTCTGTTGTAAGTTACTTCCCAGCAGAACTACTCTAAAACTTTTATGAATTCACAGGATAGTTTTGTCAGTAAAACGGCCTTATAATGGTTCATATTCAGCTTTGTTGTCTATTGTCATCGAAGAAATACGGTGGCAAATCCAGAACTGCCAATTTCTTTTTCCTAGATGCCTAGGTCATCTTAATTTGAAATCGGCTATTTGCTGATAGTTTGATGGGGCATATGAAAGAAATGGGAAAAAGAAATGATTTTTACTGGAGTCCGTGGAAGTTAACTCTTATTCTAAAAGAGCGGTGGTTTCAAGTGTTATGTGCTGTTATAACCACAATGACGCCGAAACATTTGCGAAGCTCCGGACCGCAGGTGTCTCCGGTGTGGAACGAACACGCTATTACCCTTTCCTAGGGCTAACGTTTTCACCACCACACCAGATTGGTTCTTTGTTTCGCCTTTCTCTCAGCCGCGTTTTTAACCGATGGGTGCTATCGGCAATCACACGTCGATGGGTTTGATCTGGGGCACACGGGTTTTTATGTGTCGTATTTTTCCTGTTTTCTGTCGGCTTCTCTGAGTGTTCTGTTTGGAAATTTTAGGTTTCTGATATTGAAGAAGACGAGGTTGTAGCACCTGCAGTCATCGAACAACCGTCTTATACTGTTGCAAATATCAAATTTGAGGTAGTTCTTTTGCATTCTGTCTTTATGTGCATAACCTATGTATCCCAGGATATCACCCAATCTCTACGACCTGCAAAAGTGATAACTGGACGAAGAAAGTAGTCTACGTGTTCCTCATACACCTTTATTTGTGTGTACATAAACTGGCCTTTTTGCCATTTGATAGCTATGCTCACATGGTTTTTTGTTGTTTTTTCCTCATGATGGAAATTTAAGCAGTGTTGGTTTCACATCAAAAACCGGTTTTTAATTCTTTATAAATATGGTATAAAATAGAACTACTTGATTGTTTCATAAGCGACAATGATGCCGAGATGGTTGCAAAACTCAGATTTCAGGCCGTGTTCTACAGGTGATATGTAAAAAGTGATGTAGACTACAGCCTCAGCTTAACTAGATTCAATGCCGATTTGTGCATACCAGATCATTTTCGTTGACGTGATTGCTGATGGCACCGTTAGTGTAAAACAGTGGTTAGGAGAAAGGCGAAAGGACGACCTCCTTAATGGTGCAGTGGGTAACCAGTGACTCCTCGGAAAAGGGTAATCGCGTGTTGGAATCTGGCCTATGGTCTGAGTTTTACAACTATCCTAGCATCACTGTGGTTGTATCTCACTTAATACCGTGAAGAAATATTGAGCAATAAAAGGTTGTATGTTGCGTAGAACTCTATTGTATAAGGGACCTAGAGTCGATTAGAAACATGGCTACGTGGCAATCCAGGTTCAACAGTGGGGCGCAGGTGGGTTCAAATGATAAGCATGCATACAAACACAGTTGTATTGATGCATTCTTAAGATGTTTTTGTATGTACGAGGTTTGTATGCTAAATGTCGATTCGGTTAAGAATGTGCAAGCGAGTGACTAAGAAATGAGAGGCGGCTAAGATGTTTTCTTCCATCAAGCTAATCCCACATTTAGTCCCGTATTGACCGTCCTATGCGTGGGTATATGTGATGTAATGAAAAAACTTGCTGACTTAGTTCCGCCTCATAATTAAAAATGCTAAAACATGATCTTATACGGGGTGGAGTGTTAAGTGCATGTCTTTCAAGCCAGAGGACCATCACAGCTTTGTCGCGCGATAAGGATGCGCTGAGGATTCGGTGGGATTACACGTGAAAGGCAATAGAATTATCAACGGCGTAAGTGGATAAGGCGTGAGCTTCTGAGTCGTGTGGGACCTCACCTTATCTGTTTAGCTCTTTCTCGCTATCGTTGTATGCGTTTGTGGTCTTTCTCGAGGTTGCCAACATGTGCACGTATCATTTCGTTTTCATCTGGGATTACGGCTAGGTTTATATGAGCCAAAATGTTCTCCTATACAGGATGTGGTTGTTCTAGAAGCCTTACATCCACTTGGAGTGAGTTCTACTGTCGTCCTAATAGAGTCACCTGTAATCATTTCATTACGTGACCGCAGTATCCATGTATGGTTCAGTAAGTCTATTTTCATGGACCTCGAAAGCAAGAGGTAATGGTCAAAGGTTTGTACCATGCACTCTGAGTTGGTACTATGTGCGTGGGCCATATTTCAGAATACATCGATCATCATGTGTTGTGTGCAAGATTTAGCACGTGGTTGAAGTGTTAATCGATGACTCATTTGCTTATCATATATCTAGGAAAAGCATTGATTTGGAAGGGTGACTGCGGAGTTCTGTTTGAGCAGTTCATCCGTGGCTTTTCTTGCACTCCTATACCAGCTTACTGTTAGATTAGCGCCGACCCAGTATTAGATGATGGTACTGCGGAGATGTTAGCAGAAGCACTAGTCTACATTCGTGAGACCTCCGCGCTTGTTAGGCGATTTTCATAAGTGAGAAGACCCGTGCTTTGGACAGAATAAGACGGTTCCCATTTCTCATTTCGATCTCCTATTCCAAATTTTGCGACATTGTACTTGCTTTCACTATGACCTTTCTAGTCAGAGCTTGGGTTCTCCGACAACAAATTTATAAAGCGACTTTTCGTTGCGAATTTCTCCGTAAACATAATAGAATGTCTCCACTTCGCTATCATCAGGTGTACACGCAGGAGATTTTCATATGACGGCACCTATCTTCTTCTGAGGTACAGGTTGAATATGTAGCATGGCTAAATGAGGTGAAAGGATTTCGTAGAAGTCTACGAGGTGGTTAATAGAACACTGAGCAACAGCCTTTGTCACCGAAATTTCCTTTTAGGATTATTTATGCACCAGTGATGAACGTCCCATAATTCAGTTTGTGTGTGAAGGCCTTCATGGTAATTATCTGTCATTGCGACCATGTAGTCTTTTATAAGTTGCGGCTTCCAGAATAAATTAAAAGTCGTTGTTTCATCAGACTCCCGATTTCGTAAGTGCAAAGGGGAAGACGCCGTATGCAACTCCAGATTTGATCGTTTCTCACATGTTGGATCATCGTACAGTGTAAAGCGTGTTTAGTGTTTGGCGAATTAAGCTCATTTATCTCTTGCCGATGCTTTTTCCCCTGAAGTCCTGCAACGGCGTTGTCGTAGCTCCGGAAGGTCGATAGGACAGAGTTATTGTGAATTTGAGGGAAATTTGCCACCTTGTGACGACCATGACACTAAGGCGCTAAAAATTCCTGGTATTAGCTTACTCTTACCTGGTTTTCCGGGCTCGAACTCTTCAACCTGGGATCGCCTGATGTGGTAGGAACTTTCCGTAACACATCATTGATTTGCAACCGTTAAATTCCGTTTCTGGCCGATTTGTTCCGGAAATCTCATTAACTACAGTTTTTCGAGGTAATTCCTTTTATACAGTTTCTTTGATCCCAGTTTCTTACTGTTTATATGGCTATGTATTGTTTTGATCCAAATTTCCCACTGGATAATATTTTTTCAGAGCGGCTCGAAGTTTCGTCGTAAGGTTTCGTAGAAGTGAATTGTATTGTTTATTTCGTTTTCAAAGAAAGTAGATTTGATCTCTTAATACAAAGCGAAGGGCGCGTGTAGCGCAGTGTTCGGAGGCGCCTTGCAATACATATGGGATCGATCTCCGCGTCCCAGGCCCACCAGGCCTTCCATCCCTCCGCGATCGGCAAATTTGTACCAGACTTGTCTGGGAGGACAGCAGCACTGACTCGATACAACGGTAGGCCACCACGAGTCATTGTAAAGCGCAGACATGCATTCACTCACCTCCAAACGATGGGAGCAGTTTACAGGAGGAGGTTCGAAGTCACCATGAAGTTGAATGCATGGCGCATTCCTCAGGGATTGATCAACGCCGAGAGCTTTATTCTTTAATATAGAGCGATTCAACATCGGTTTTAGGAAAATGTGAAGTACTCTGTGCATCATAGATTTATTTATTAATAATTGTGGATAGAGGCACAATCGTACATTTATTGTATCGCGAGCAAAAAATTGTTAGCCACTCATTCTTCAGCTTTACGTGGACGAATCGTCTAAGTTACTGTGTGCCAGTGGCAGCGTTGTAATCGTCGACAAACTTCGCGTACTTCGTTTTGTTCTCCTCCGTTAAGATGTACTCATATCTTGAATACTTCATTTCATTGAAATGATAAATTCAAAGCTTCTCTATCCCACTTTGAAACAAGAAGCCGAACAATCTACGCAGTGATGTGAACGACATGTTAACCAAATAGTGGACCATATGCATCTAAGTATTGTCACATTTTTGGAGATTAAAGTCTATGTTTATTACCCAGTACTTCTCTTCTTAGCTTCCTTTTTACTGCAATTTCTTCGATCTCGCTCATGTCATCGATTCGCGATATGGTTAGCACAGGAGCTACGCGGTGTTCTCCGAATGCTTATAGCGGGTAAAGCCCGGATCAAAAGCGAGCATGTGTACTTTATCTGAGGCGCGGGTGGATACAGGGTTGAGCCTCGTGTGCTGTGCTCAAGTGAGTTACGTATTACTTATACATTTTATGGTATCCATTCATATGTACGTATGGGAGTATTCGGCTTGTATTGTACACGCCAATTCGGCTATACTAAATGCCTACAATCAGATGGGAGCAGTTTACGGGAGGAGGTTCGAAGTCACCAAGCCTCTGTGAACTATTCCAAAGCCCAGGTAGTTTACCATGCTACATTGTTGTCAAGAACTGCAGAAGTAAAGCGAGTAATATGAGAACTGTTATGAATCATGCTAGTTCTTAGCGTACGATAGGGGCGAACGAAGACCACTGGTACTTGAGTGATTTGATGTTGAAGTGCCTGCGAGCATTGTCTTTTCTTAGAGCTTTAGCTTTTATAATAGGAATGGAACAACATCATGAAAAGTGTTTCACACATCTCTTTCTCGGGGCTAACGCGTTCACCACGACACAATCTTTCGTTTCGCCTACGGGTGATTGCTGATAGCACTTATAGGTTAGAGACGGCTGAGAGGAAGGCGAAAGGAAAGACGAGCATGGTGTGATGGTGAACCCGTTAGTCCTCGGAAAGGCTTATAGCGTGTCAGATCCCTGTCGCAGACACCTGCCGCCCGGATATTTGCAAATATCTCATCCTCTTGTGGTTATATTTCACATAATACCCTACCATAAGCAGTAAATAAGAGTAATCACAGTGTCTCTAACATAGTTGATTAGTAACAACAATTACGTTTATTGTAATGTGCATTAAGGGGCGGGTTTGGTGCAGTGCTCGGAGGCGCCCTTCAACACACACATGGGATCGATCCCTGCGCCAGTGGCTCACCATGCTTTCCATTCCTCCGCGATCGGCATATTGGTACCAGACTTGTTTGGGAGGATAGCAACACTGGCTGGATGCATCACTAGGCCATCGCGGGCATTATAAAGGTCAGGTATGCATTCAATCACCTCCAACGATGCTTAATGATGTTCAATGCATGGCCCATCCCTCGGGGATTGATCAACGCCGAGAGCTTTATCCTTTATCCTTTATAATAGACATTACAGTTTCGTTGTTTGAATACAATGCGATGCAGAAGTAGGCTGAAATTTCTACAATCCGTACCTGCTTTTGTGTTTTTCAAGGAAGTAGCATAGAATAACGCGATGAATATAGAGGTATTGCTGAAAAAGTTATTCATTTCAGTGCCTCCATTTCAGTTCCATCTACGCCGGGCGATGCAATGCCCAAAATATAAGAATTTGCGCATTTCCAAATATTTTCCATTTAAAATCCTGTATAATAACCCAATCTTGTTAACACCACAATCGTTACTCGCATACGGAGCTTCACACTGGAGCACGACTAAGGCGTGAACGAGGACCAACGTTTTCATTTCGAAGCTCAGTTGAAGATAAACCGACTTCAGCTATTAGTGCCGTCCTTGATGAATTCCAATCGAAAGTGGGCATATGCGAAACTGGTCGCTAACGCCTAGGGAACACCTACATATGGTGAGGTGCAACGAGGGCTCCAGGATAACAAAGACTTCATCCAGCAGTATGTTATATCAGTAAAAATTGGAATATAGACCTCGTGATCCGTAAAAGAACGGCCATCCAAATATCCAGTTAAGTAGTCGAAGGTATGATATGTTACACTCATGGTGTGGAGAAATGTTTGCATTTGTAGGGTGCTTGTAGCACAGATGTTAGAGGTGTCCTGTAACACACGTGGTCGTTGGTTTGCACCGGTGCACTGGACATAATCCGTTCGAGGTCAGCAAATTTATATTACACTCTTCAATCACCTTTACGATGCTTATTAAACTTATTGAAGTATCGCGAGGGTACAAAAGACCGCTCTGTCTCACTTTCATCGATTTAAAGAAGGGCTTTGACTCAATTGGGATAGAAGCAGTCATTGAGGCCCTGGATAGTCAGGGAGTCCCTACTCTTTGCATAAAGATTATTAGTGAACTGTACAAAAATTTCACAACCAAGATATCACAATTCTACAGCAATATTAACATTGACGTTAAAAGAGGAGCTAGGCAAGGCGATACCATCTCGCCAAAATTATTCACCGCCACCCTCCAGAACGTCATGTGAACATTGGTATGGAATAATATGGGAGTGAAAATCGATGGCCGGCAATTACACCATCTTCGCTTTGCTGATGACATCGTCCTCATAACACCAAACATTAGCTTAGTTTAACGTATGCTTGACGACTTTGATAGAGCCTGTGGAAAGATTTGTCTTTGACTAAATCTCACAAAAACGATGTTCACGAGGAACGGATTGGTTTCGTATGCCCCATTCACGCTCAACGGAACGAACATCTCCAAATGCTCCAGTTATATCTATCTAGGTTGGGAAGTCAATATGATGAACGACCTAGCTCCAGAGCTGAGCAAAAGAAAACGAGTGGCTTGGGGAGCTTTCAAGAGCATCGAGGATGTAGTGAAGAGGACAAAGACAAAGAACACCCGACTCCGTGCCCACCTTTTCGACCCAGCGGTACTTCCTACCCTAACGTATGCGTCAGAAACCTGGTCGCTGCGTAAGGAGGATGAAAGGTCACTCAGCGTTATCGAACGCGCAGTCGAAAGGACGATGCTAGGAGTATACCGTTCCACACAAGTAAGGGATGAGATCCGAAGCTCCGATCTGCGTCGATCAAAAATAAAAGATGCCGTTCTGTACGCCAAACAGTCGAGGATAAGGTGGACCGGTCACATAATGTGTATGGATGACAACCGATGGACAAGAGTCGTTAGTGACTGGATTCCTCGGGTTGTTAAGCAGAGTTCTTCACGAAAACCGTAGAAAAAAGGTATGATGCTCGAAGAGTCCGTAGAGCTAGCAGAACCCACTGGGCTACTCTTGCACGCGATAGGGAAAAATGGAAGATTTACTGGTGCTTGCTCGACTCACTCGACGATCAATGGGATTACAGGTGATACAAATGATGATATTCGAGTTGGTATGACCAGCGCAGTTGTAGTGAGCTCGCTTGGCTTCACTCTTTATCCTTCAAGGTCTTGAGCCCTTAATACTGTATATGCACCAACGAATATACGTGCACGTTGCAATGTCCAACATATTTAGCTGCAGCCGCCAATGTTGAGAAAATCTCCCGATGGTGATAGTTCTAATCATCGCAGCTCTCTGATCGTAGACAATATCCGTACACCAATTAATAGTAGCTTATTCTATCATAGTTAGAATCCTCCATGTTTCTGCAATAGAATTCTTTGTGCTCACTAGGTCATTTTGTATGGACCATGCACGTTGATTCCTTAGTTCCTTCAATAAATCACACATTGTTGCGCATTCAACACCGGCTTGCATCCGTTCTGAAACGATTTTAGATTTAAACGCTTTGTGACCTTTGTTTTTTCGTTTTGAGTATACTTATTTGTAATCGCCTCCTAACAGTTTACCGCCTCATCGTGGCTAGGTGTTCCTGGGTGTCGGGCTCCGATTTAGGGCAGGGGATTCATCCCCCCAGTAGGGTTCCCAAGCTAAGGAGGAGGCCGGTGTTTCCAGCCCAGATAAAGGTAAACCAATGCCAGGATCCACTACCATCCTGATAGCAAACTAGTAGCATTGTGGCAAATCTCCCTCCGATCCACAAAAGCAGCAATTGCCTGTAGTGGAGGCGACCTTGGGAAGACTTTCACTAGGCTGACATTGGGATTCCAGGGAACCACGATATCTAAGCGAGCAAAACTTCGAAACAATGGAGATTATGTTGGGGCCAGCACAACCAGTGAAGACGGGCGCCCAAGTATCCTAATAAGTATGTATTTGTAATGAAGACTAAGTCGAAAATCGAATGGTAATGCACCTAAGATATACTCAATCGCAACAATTGTTCCAGTTCGGCCAATACCAGCTGAACAGTGTACAATTATCGGTTTTTTAGTTCCTCGTATACGTGAAAGAAGTTCCTGAAGCTTTCTAATTTTATCCACCTTTGATAAGGTCAGAAAAAATCTTAAACTGTACAAACCATGCTAGTGAGACGACATGGTGGCACTCCTCGATCAGGCCAGTCTAGCCACTGGTAATGTCGGACTTCCCGAGATTCATTAGTGCCATCGGGTTTAGAAAATTTTATTACGAGTATACTAACAGAAATACTTGGTTCATCAGGAGACATTGCTCGCATCTGAAAACAGACCGATTTCGACAATTAGCTTGCTTCTGTCTATAGTAAAACCACACTAGAAGGTTGTGAAAGTAGTTTCGAATACTTGACTCCTACGAAAAACATAAATTAGTTGCAGTGCGTACTTTGAGCTTTCTATGCTACCAACTAAGGTAACCTGTAAGATATATTGTTTGATACGCCCATTGCATAGCGTGCACGTCCCATTCAAATATACGATAAATCGAGTAGTTACGAGAAAAAGATCGAAAAGAGCAAAAACTGATTTACAACGTTCATTTTTTATTTTCTGCCTCCTATAATTTTTACCCTCCCAACGGTTTACCGCCTCATCGTGGCTGGAAGGTGCTCTTGGTTATCGGACTGTAATGTAGAGCGGAGGATTCATCTCCTGGAAGGGTCTCCCAAATGAAAACGAGTCCGGCGTTTCCATCAGGAAGCTTAGCTAAGAGTAAAGCAATAGCAGGATCCACCACCGTCCTGGTATCAAAGTCGCATGGTGGTAAATCTCCCTCTGATCCACAAGGGCTGCGATTGCCCGTGGTGGTGAAGACCTGGGGCAGACTTTGGCCAGGCTAACCTCGGGACTCCAAGGAACCATAATGGCTTAATCAGTAAATCTCCAAAAAATGGAGATTATGCTGGGGCCCGCACAACCTTTGAGGACGGGCCATTCAAGTATCAAGTAACAAGTATAATTTTTACGGCACGTTATTAAGAGAAATGCAACCACAATATTGCTGAGAAATTTGCAAAACTCCGCACCGCAGGTGTCTGCGATGGGGAACGAACACGCTATTGTCCCTTCCGGGGAGCAACGTGTTCACCACCACACCATGCGGGCCCTTCGTTTCGCCTGTCTCTCAGCAGACACCTGTGGTCCGGAGTTTTGCAAAAAAACGAATTTGTTTCTTGGATAGGGACCAGTCATTATTGCATGCATTTTTTTTCTAAACTTTAGGAATAATAGGATTAATTTGTTGTTGGATGGATATAGAAAATTTTTCGGAAGTGGTGTTATTCAATTCAAAACGAGATCTTCGTCTGAGACTTTATGGTGAAAATTCAGCTGCACTTCTATAATAAAAAGCTCCAAAAGCTCTCGGCATTGATCAATCCCTGAGGTGTGCGCCATGCATTCGATTTCATTAAGTATCGTTGGAGGTGAACGAACGCATACCTGGTTTTTACAATGACTCGCGGTGGCCTACCGTTGTATCGAGCCAGTGCTGCTATGCTCTCAGACAAGTCTGGTACCAATTTTTCGTCTCCGGCGGGATGGAGAGCTTGGTGGGCCATGAGCATGAGGATCGATTCCACGTGTGTGTCGCAGCGGCTCCTCCAAGCACTGCGCCACACACGCCGTTCTATAATAAATGAATAAGTAGTTATAAATGTCATTGGATGTTTTTGAGCTTCGAAAAATTTTAAGTTAAGGACAGAAATTTGGTGCTAAAGTTCAATATTAATTTTGATAAGAATGAGCATCGAACCCACCTGAATATTGGTAATATCAATTCCAGAAAATGACTTGGTTTCTCCAACTTTGTCCGGCCAATATGGAGCACATTTAATTTTCCCCTTAAACAAGGTGCTATAGAAAAACGAAGGAATATAGAATATTAAATGGAATTGGGCTTGCTGTTCTGGTTGATAATGAATCAAAAGTGGGAGGCATCACTTATCTTAACACTTTAGAAAACAAATACCAGTTAATTTACGACCCAATAAACCACGACATTCAGATCTATTTGCAACTCTGTAAGGCGTTGGAGAATTGTTATTTTATGCACTAGCAGAAACAACGATCTACAATGCTCAGACTGGAATCGTATTATTGAGTAATCTCTGCGAAAAGTTCGAATGCATACACTTTGACCTAACATATCTAAGCACAGGCCGGTTATACTCACCCCTCTAGACGCACGTGGCGCAGTGGTCAGAGGCGCCCTGCAACACACACTTGGAATGGATTTCCGCTCCCATAGCCCACCAGACCTTCCATCTCTCCGGGTTCGGCAAATTGGAATCAAACTTGTTTGGGAGGATAGCAACACTGGCTCGATAGATTGGTAGGCCACCGCGAGTCATTGTAAAGGCCAGATATGTGTTCATTCACCTCCAAACGATGCTTAATGAAGTCGAATGCATGGTGCATTCCTCAGGGATTGATCAACGCCGAGAGCCTTATCCTTTATTTACCAGATGCAGGCAAAACACTCCTCTCGTATTTCAGCACCTCATCGTGCTGAAAATCGATGGAAAAGGTGTTCCCTCATTAGGATGCCTCAATCTGGAGACGCGTACGATGTTATCATCTACGAATCCAACTAAAAGTAGAACATTTTCAGGAACTGTCGATGTTCTCGAAGAAATCCGGTCCGATAATGGCAAGTCACACTTATCCATGAAAGACCACCACTGGTGAGGGTCCGAATACGCCACAGGACTTTTTCGGAATTTCAGATTCACCAGCATCGACTATGTGGTTCTACAAGGACGTCGAGGTGTGAGCAAAACTTCGAACCCCAGGTGAGCTTCCCACCCGAGATTATCCTTACCAGGGGTTCACATGTTACCCGCTGTACCACGAAATCTCTCGCCTTTCTCTTAGCCTGTTTTTTTTAACTTCGCGATGCCATCAGCAATTACTTCGTCAACGGGAATGATCTGGGGAGCACAGATCGCATTAAACTGATTAAGCTGAAGCTGCAGTTGAAATCATAGTGTTTACCTTCTTTTTTACTGCTTTTCTTTTTTAATGGCAGGGTCCTTGTTGTTGTAATACCCTGCCGTGGCAAAAGAATAACTGTACGTGATTCTAACTGCAGAAAACAACTGACGGTATGCCGAAGGGACATCTGTGGGAAGTAAAACTTGGCGCTAATCTTGAGAAAGCGTACTGCAGAAGCTCTTTTACTTCTATAAAGGCGTTTTTTCACGAGGATCTAAAAATGCAGCAGTTCCAGTTCAGATCGTCCTCATTTGCTTTACCGGTTTACCCTTCTTCGTAACAGAGAGCGCGCTGCTTACTTTTTTAATCGTTAATTCCAAAGCATCATCGACATTTTGTTTAGTTATTGTTGCAACTCTCATTTAAAAAGTAAGAAAAGATATGATACCATTATTAATTAGAGCCTACCGTTTCTACACAATTGCATAACATAATAATAGTTTCTGATTCCTCTTGTAGAACCATCATCCAGAACTCGGTAACCGTGTTATCCAGAGGCCCCTTAAACATCTAGTATCCCATTGTCTTGCTGCTCCCACTTTACTATTCTTCGACCTTTCTTGGTGGGGTGGAAAGGAAACGAAGCATGAAGTAGTCTTATTTGAAATCACGAATGTAAGCGTAAACCTGTGTGCAGATGAATCGCTTCTCAGATACTGGCGTTCCAACATAGTTTGCATGGATATAGTCGGTAGGTGCACCGGGCCATTTTATAACCACCCGATGCTGGTCCTGGCACGGTACATCTTGGTATCTGAACTAGTTAATATGATCTTGATAAATTACATGAATTGGGTGGAACACTGGTAGTGATGTCCGTCGTCACGAGCATGGTGCTAGTTCGATTCCGCTTTTGGCCAACCAAGCCTCTCATCCTACCGGAGTCGAGAAATTGGTACCGGACTTGTCTGGCAAAGAAATCACTCTCTGCAATCTAATTGTGAACGCTCCAGCCCACCTATCTCAGGACTCTAGGGAGAATTGCTCAACCAACATTTTACGACATTCAAGATTAAATGGAAATCCTCAAGCAGCAGCTGAAGCCACACGCAAAAGTTAGAAGATCTTCGTGGACAATGGATGCCAAGAAACGAATCGAATGTGAGAGGTGCTGGGATGCGCGCTGTAGACGTGAAGACGGGTCATATAAGTAAAGAGCAAAATGAAATAATTGCATGAATATTAACTGAATTTGGCATATCTGCCAAAATTTATCTTTATGGTTTGACACCCAGAGAAGTAACACTTCTTCATTAGCATCTATGATTTGCAAGCAGTAGTTTTTTCCATTGGTTGTTCAATAAAAACATTTCGATGTCTACAGTTTAGTTGCTATTTTTCTGGTTTCAAAGAACTTTTTTTGAAGTAATGAAATAATGTTCTTATTTACTGCCTTTTACAAGTTTTTACGGCAGGGTATTATTTGTGAAACAACTACGATGATGCCGAGACATTTGCAAAACTGCGGACTCCAGGTGTCTGCAGTGGGTAACGCACGCGCTATTGTCCTTTCCGGGGAGTAACGCATTCACCACTATGGGCAAAAGATCGATAGAACTAGCTGAGAAACAGGCGTAACGCAGGATCCGCATGGTGTGGTGGTGAACGCGTTACTCCCCGGAAAGGACAATAGCGCGTTCGTTCCCCACCGCCGGACACGTAATGCTTATGAATGATAACCAATGGACACCCACCTTATCTTCAACTGTTTGTCGTACAGAACGGCATCTTTGATTTTTGATCGTTGACGCAGATCGGAGCTTCGGTTCCCATCCCTTAGTTGTGTGGAACGGGATACTCCTAGCATCGTCCTTTCGACTGCGCGTTCGATAACGCTGAGTGACCTTTCATCCTACTTACGCAGCGACCAGGTTTCTGACGCATGCATTAGGGTAGAAAAAGTACCGTTGAGTCGAAAAGGTGGGCACGGAGTCGAGTGTTCTTTGTCTTTGTCATCTTCACTACATCCTCGATGCTCTTGAAAGCTCTCCAAGCCGCTCGTTTCCTTCTGCTCAACTCCGGCTACAAGCGGCTCAAGCTCAATTCGCGCTTTTTTTGCATCTCACCTAATTTTCTACGTCCCTATTACCACCTGATTTTTATGAGTATGTCATCCTATCCAGTCCTCATGGGAACTTTGACCGTCAAGAACGTTCGTTTAATCCTTTAGATACCTTCACGAACGGAGTATGAGTAATATGAGGAACGGAGGATAATACCCTGACGTCAACAAAATAATGGGCAGTACGTATAAGTTATACATGGAGAACGACTAATGGAACTTCACAGTGAAACTTAGCTGGAGAATACAGTTTTCTTTTTAACGATAATATTTTTAAACATGGATCTCTGCTAACTTTTGAGGAAATTTTGACAATTGCGATTATTAAGGCTGTTATAGAGTTGCAAGAAAATAGGTTGCAAGAAAACTACAACCGTTCATTCTCGTAATGTGACGTCTTCGTTTTCGCATCAAGTCGAATACGGTGGAAGGAACACGCTTGAATGAATTATTTTCATTCTTCATTTCCTTTTTCCTCCTGGAGTGTTGTTTTTAGAGACATTGCTACGCTGTGTGCCAGCCTGTTTAACACTTCCGCAAGATGCACTGCTGCCAAGAAAACAGTTGACCAGATCACACTGGATGGCAGCAGACCAGCAGTCGTCCTGGAAAGGAGCATCTCCGAGTTGGATCACTTCATCCGAGTGGTGCTACACTCGATTGAATCTGGATTCGAATCTGCAATGGCGAAGACCCCAAATCGCGTCGGCGAATAACTATGGACAACCGACCCGAATCAATCCTGCTCTGAAGAAGATGAAGAAACCGAAGCATTAGTCGAATAGAACTTATTACTAAACTCGTGATAGCTTAATAATCCAATAAATTATTATGCTAAACGTTTTAAAATAGCCGACATGACTAGTGTTTAGTTTCCGCATACCGGGAATGGAGAGAGTTGAGGTAAATGCTTAACTGAATCAGAGAAAATTAAATCCTGAAAAATTAAAGGTATTGCTTTTAGTCAAATTCCTTTCAGAGTGGGATTAAAGATATCCACCTATTTGGTATCCCACCTATTTGACTTCGAGACAAAGTCCCCATATTTCAAGGAGTTCTGCTGAAGTAACAAAGTAAGTACTTAGTAAAAAGTAAGCAAAGTAATTAATGCCTCCTTTCTAAGTCATTTATACATAAAACAATGCAAATGCTACGTATTTAGACTTGCGCTTAGTTGTGATTTATGTTTACGCGTAGATGGTAGCATGTCTTGTTCACATGGAGGATTTACATCCCACCTATTCCTACCGGCCTCCTGGTTTGCTTTGCAAGCGTCGACAGTCATCTCCGGAAGTGTGTATTTCGCTAGGCTGCGGTATTCCGCTCGCAGTGCATCCACTCCCATGTCCAAAGCACGTTGAAGCCATTGTGCAACCTATTTTAACGAAGACTTTTGTTGAAAGTGGTTTATTTTATGTACAATTTGCCTTAAAGGGCGTGTATTCCCGCCCACTTACCACTTGTGCCCCTCCTTTCGCGCATTGTGCGACTTGGGGGACTTGCGGCTGAGTTTCCTGAAGAGAAATCAGCAGTGAGCATGAAAATGTGATTTTGATTAAAATTCGGAGTTCGAAATGTGTTTCGCTTTTCTCGCCATATTCAATGCAATCTAATTAGGTCACATAAGCAACTGGTAGCACCACTAATGGTTAAAAATCTCTCACTGTTCAGCTTATATAGGTGATTAGCTTGTGAAGTGAAGTAGCTACATGACGACATGACCTCTATAGGAATCATACGATGACAAAGTAGTGGCTGTTTTCAACTTCAAGTTACCTTGTTATTTTAGCTAGTGAGAGATTTCAATAATTGATAGGAAATTATTAGAATCTACAAATCTCTGCCTTTAAAGCACAGATGATCTTATCTTACCGTGATAAAATTACGGTTTTCTGGAACGCACGGCATATAATTTCTCTTTTTATTGCTTCAGAGTTCAAATTTCAAAGAAAAAACGAGTGAGAAAGCGATATTTCATCCAGTAAACCTTAATGGTGTACACCAGTGTACCGTTTGTGTGAAGCGGGCCCTCTTCTGTCAAGGAGTTTATAAGTCGGATTTCGTTACCAACTTTTCGAAGGCTTTAGGTCTCAGCTTACTTTTTTCAAACCTTTTTAATTCAGTAATTCTTAATTAATCTCGTTTAGCATGAAAGAATACTGTATAAAAACATATGTGCTATTGATGCGACAGCAAAGTTTACTCTACAAATCTATGAGGTTCTGAGTTCCTGGAATGTTCCAGTGATCAAGAAATTATAGTCAGTTAACGAAGAGCCAGTTTTGGCGCAAAAGGATTAGAATAGCCGCACAAACTTAGTGACCCAAATTTCAGTAATCATAATAAACCTACGTTTTTTCCTTTATTCTTTGTTTCCTTTTTTCCTTCAACAGATTGCTGTTGAAGTTTGGATGGTGCTTCGTTTTCCTCCTTCTTGGCTTTTTTATTCTTATTTTTTTCTTCCCTGATAAGATATTAGTACGGACATCGAAAAGTAACACATGAGAATTTCGCTCTACTACAGGGACGCTTATGCTAAGATGACACTCGATATTGTATTCATTCAAGATACCGTTTTCTGGATCCTGTCAGACTCGGAATTTCTCTCACCATAATTTCCTATTGAGCTTTATCCTGTAATTACAATGAAACTTGTTGCCAGGCACTATAATGCAACCGCGAGCTTGAGAGAGTGTCATGGAAAACAGTTCGAAATCACTCCCAATATGTGTCTACACCCGAGAAACCCAATGGCCTCATATGCCTATCCAGTCTTTGCCAAAACAGTCCATTATCTATCTGAACTGGCAACTACTCACAAAAAGCATTAAGAATAAGAAAATTAGCAGGAAAAATCCTATAATTTTGCATCCTAGGAGTACACGGAACGTAATGCGCCTCGATTCTACAGGTGGTGCATCAATTTCAGGTCCTCAAGGACAGGCCCAAGCAAAGCCTGAGACATTAGGAAAGCGCCATGCTGTTACATAGCTTGAATTTCTTCAGAGAAAAAGAAGGAAAAACTAGCTTTTTTAATCAAAGAAATCTCGGAAATTGTGCCATAATCGCGAAGTCTGGATGGCGATGAGACCTACACTTGTGAAGTGAACGAACAGAAAATGCAGCCAGCAATCGAGAAGTAGTCATAATTAATGGTCGATATCTATCCCTATCAAAATTCTATATCATAAGCAGATATTCTCCTTTACTTCCGTCGAATACGAAATGTGGACAAAATTGATAACCTCAGACCTGCTTAACTTTGATGATTCACACAAGAAAATTTAACACAAGTGGTTGTTTTAACTTCAGAAGAAAGCATTTTAAGGGTCATTTTTACGCAAAGCAATCTGAGCTTTCAACCATCACTAAATCACTACTAGCAGAGAGAGGCGAAACGAGCGATCTGCATGGTGTGTTGGTGAACGCGCTAGCCTCCAGAAAGGGTAGAACCATGTTCGTTCTCCAGGTCCGGAGTTTTCCAAATATCTCAGCATCATTGTGGTTGCACCACACGTAACACCCTGCCATGAAAAAATTGTAATAGGCAGTAAATAACATAGTCAGCATTGTGATATCTTAGCATCATTGCGGTTATTATCAACTTAGCTTGCTCTTACCATAGATTAAGTTACTAATTTTCTGTGTTTTAGTAAGAGCAACCAACCGTATCTAGACGGTAGAACATTGGTGATGTGGAATAAATTCCGCTTGACTGCAACCACGGATGTAAGAGTGTTAAAGAAAATGAGAAGCTCATTCATCTCCAAAGAAGACATCATATGAGATATGCCCCAACTAATTTCGAACAATAAGATGCGGCCTACTATATCGCCCTCGAGCTGCTGCTATCACGAAAAACGTTGCTGTAGTAGGAAGTGACAGTCGAAACAATCAACAAACGGTCTTCCGATGTAAAACGCTCGGGGACTGTCTGTGGTAAAAATCTGGAAATACTATAGCTTAGCTATCTTGGTATGCAAAGGAAGCCGAACGCTTAACCTGCTGGTGAGGAAAATACAAGAGATCTTCAAGCTGTTGCCGAGGCTACACGCAACCGAAACCCGATTATCTTCAAAGATGGGTGATACAAAAAAAGGTCTGATGGTGTAATATTGCTGCTGCACTGTGCATTGGTATGGTAAATCAATAGCGTGAAATTTCGCGAAACTTCGCCTTTCACAGAATTCACTGTGTACTGTGTGCTTGTACTTCTACATAGTGTACTTTTCTTAAGGAGCTGATCTTATGCACATAAAAAATCTGTTTTCTTCTCTAAACCCACCCATTGCATTTGTTTCCAACGTTTCTGAGTGGTTTGCAACTTTTTTGTAGTCAACGGTCAGAATAATCATCAAAGGTAGAGCGTTAGAATAGCAAGAAGGTCCGAGCATAGTAATGCTAAACAAAAAACAAACACTTACGCTGCAGAAGGCTTCTTGTAAGGCGGCATAGGTGGTCGCTGATTCTGCGGACGACCTCCTTTGACTAAGTCACACTATGCGTGAGTCCGATAGAGGGAATGACAGTTAGCAGGTGTTATTTTCATTTATCATATGGAAAGTGTTTTTTAATACAAGATATGGCACCACATGACGTAAATATGAGATACTGTTAACGTAGAGACCGTGGATAACGTAGGATAAAAAAGGATAAAGCTCTCGGCGTTGATCAATCCCTGAGGGATGCACCATGCATTCGACTTCATTAAGCACCGTTTGGAAGTGATTGAATGCACATCTGGCCCTTACAATGACTCGCGGTGGCCTAACGATGTATCGAGCCATTGCTGCTATACTCCCAGAGAAGTCTGGTACCAATTTGCTGACCCTGGAGGGATGGAAGGCTTGGTGAGCTGTGGGCGCGGGGATCGATTCCACGTGTGTGTTGCAGAGCACCTCTGACCACTACGCCACAAGCGCCTATTGATAACGAAATAGATAATGTAAATGACAATAACGAGATAAAAACTTCTACAATGTACGAATATTCCGATTACATAGAAGCCAAATACAAGCTAAAACAGTAGAATAACTACTTTTTAGCATTTGTGAAGGAAGTCCTTATTCAATGAAATTTATTTCCACAATTAGAGGTTTTGTGAGATGCCTGATATTGAAAATCTCTTAAGCAATATGCTTGCCGGTTGTATCTTTTCGGTACGGGTATGACCGAAATTCTAGTAGATTGGTGATAGCTGAACGCAACGGCACAAACATTATCCATCAATCCATTATATGTCTACTGACTGAATCGCATCTGCAGTCAATATTCAGAGCGACGTTTTTAGCGGAGCTGCAAATTTCATCTCAAAATCTGTTATTTCGGGAAGAGCTATGCAGTTGCGAATACTAAACCTCAAACGGGGCCCTTGTGGTTCAAATTCCCTTTTTAAGAGCACAAGGGTTGTGCAGCAAGTGAAGGCATTTGGTTGTGACAATATCACTTTCTGCTTAAGGCAGATTGTGTTCATTGGAAACATTTTTAAGTGAAAAAGTTTAACAGATAAACTAAAATTAGTAGATTCTGAGAATAATGGCGATGGTGAATACACTGCCGTCTGGGTTGTCCTTTTTTGTAGAAGCAAGAAAGTGTGATATACTATCAGAAATAATAGGCATCATCACCCCAGAATTTCTGGTTTTGGATGTCGTTCATTTAATTAATAATTCGGTTACTTGTTAGAAGAAGAAGAAGAAGAAGCGGGACGAGACAACTGCAGGAAAAGAATCCAAGGAAAATTTAGTGTGAATTGGTCAGAGAATTTTAACTCCACTGAGAGTGAAAAGCCCAACTGCATTGATTATGCTGATGCTGTGTAATGAAGCTGTAGGAAAACTTCTTACCACGAGTATAGGTAAGGTTATCGTTTCCGTTTTGTAGTTATGCGTTAACCCAATCATAGAAACGTAGAGAACTGCCTAAGAGGTGGATATGTACCATACAACTGTCCAAGAAAACTCGTTCACTGTTCCCAGCCGTCCTCCTTAGTGGGAGTTTCTTGAAGAAGTAAATGGGCTGCACCTGCCCTTTTCCTGCCATCCAGTAGATTCCGTTGTATTCTCCATGCCGTTTCTTCCCATTACAAGAGAATCCTCCGCCATCTTCGCTTTATTACCCTCCTACTCCTTTGCGCCTTCCTGTTCTCGTTCATTTCTTTTCTTTCCAGCAACTAAATCACACTGGATCAGAACATACAGTTGAAGCATCTGCTTGGAAGCGTTTATTCAATCACAGTAGTCAACGTTTCAGCAGTTTCGCCTTCTTCAGAGCCTGGAAGGCTATATTGATATGCGATTTATTACGTCAAACGCTTCAATAATACATGCAGAAAGATGAGAATCTGTATGGTAATCACATGATCAACAGCTTCACGAAAACTCACTGTTCTTTATGTCGCTTCCACTAGGGGCGAACAGCTTATTGGAGTCGCATATGGTTGATGACTACATCGTCCCACATCACAAATCAGTGCGAAGATACGGGGTCAGGTCGCGTCTGACCTCTGGACATTCCTCCTTGCTACTCATTCTACTGTTCTTGGCATTCATCCAAAGAGCCTCAAGAAGTTTACACGCTGGTGTTTTGCCATCCTATGCCAGGATGATGACTTTTATATCAAAATCGTCTCGGAGTTCGTCTGGTTATTATAAAGTAGAAAGTTCAAACCAAACTCCATTTACTCTGTTAGCGCAAAACTGCTTTTCCGAACTATGCGAAGGCAGAGGATTTGGCAAAGTGGCGTGCTTCCCAATATAAGCTTTATCGTAAGATACGTTTTAAATAATTGATAAACCAGAAAAGTTGTGTGCTAATTCTGCATTTGACCTGGTTCGTTTCCTATGCTCCGACATAGATCAGATAAAAGAGACTTCAAGAAGCGTTGCAAACATCACCATATCTTTTATACGATCGTAGAAGACAATGTTAGTAGAATCCACATTTTGATCTTCTGATTCAATTGGATAATTGTATGTTTCATATTCACCTCTTAGACAGTTCTCTACGTTTCTATGGTTAACGCATAACTCAGGTAGAGAGCATAAGGAAGAATCCTTGATACTGGCGCGGCAAATAGCCGTTTCGAATGGCTACGAAACTGTAGCTTCTCGGCATAGGCATATAGGAAAAAACGCCACGAAACGACATTTCTAGCGAAAGCAAGGCTCCGTTCATCACGCCCTTTATTTCGAACGAAATAAGTGCAGCCACAAAACATTGCTTACGAGGGGCCGGTCTAGAGAATTTAGTAAGAGTGATAGAAATACCACCGAGAACTCTAAGACTCCAGCTAGTTCCTAACCACCTTTATGACCTTCTCTGTACAACGAAAAACCGCATAATTTGCTCTAACGGTGGAGATGGTGATTGCACGAGTTCGGGTACGTGTACCTAATCTCTTGTAAAGCGTATAAGGGCGAATACGTTGACGAAACGAGTAGACCGATCTGTGTCCGCGTAAAAGAAAACCTAGTCGATAAATCTAAATTGAAACCAAACTCTCCACTAGGCGTGTATAGGACACAGAAATATAACGGAGAAGGTTTTAGAAGTAGAAGTCACTATCCTAGCACAGGAATCCAAGGCATCGACGCGTAAAACTCTTGAAGGGTTTTAGATTAATTCCAAAAATAGAAAAATGAATTGTAAGGAGGTGTGCATTGTTATCACAACTGAGCTTGCGCCATACCTCAGGCTGATTCAATGACCTCATCCAGACACAGTCCTCGCCTATGTTTTACTCTGTGCGGCTGCTGTCCACCAATTAGTTGTAATACTTGCAAAGAACAAAATTTTGGGTATTTAAATAAAGCTGTTTATTACACGAATGCAAATTTATGCAATAACTTTTATCTACTAGGGTTATGAAAGTGTTTGGCTGAGTAGGTCGCATGTCAATTTGACTTTTTCAGGCTTTAAAGAAGGCAAGTCCGCCGAAACAGCTATTATATCCTACTAAATTCTATAATAACAGTCTCTTGTCTGCTTATTGAAGGAAAACATCGAATTATTTTGAAAATTACCCAAAAGTACTGGAGAAAAAAAACCGAGGACCGAAGAACAACTATGAGCAACAGATGTTTCTGTTCGAAGAAGAGTTTTACAAAATATGAACATTGAGATTATACAGAAATCAAACACTATACTAACATATTAACATAATTGCTTTCTAATATTTGTAAAAGAAAATTTTATTCGTTGAAGAGATCTATTTTCACAAATCGCGGTTTTCCAAGGTGTCTGATATTGTAGACTTCACGAGCAACGTGGCTGCCGGTAATCCCTTCTGGGCTACGGTAGGGACGAAATTCTGGCAGAGGCGTGACAGCTGCAAACAAGAACAAGGATAATATTCACCAGTACATTACATATCTAATGGTTAAACAGAATCTGCGCTCATAGGGAAAAATGACGCTGCTGTATACATTGCGCTCGTGTTGTTCTTTCTGACAGCACTAAATGCCCTATCTTAAGAATGGCACATTTCTGGGCCTAAGAAAAAAGTAATTAGCGAAGTCCCAGAACAGAAGCTAAGCAAAAATTGTTTTAAAAGAATCAGAGACTGCTTTAATTTCATACAGACTAGAGATCTGAATTGCGTTGACTGAGCTGTTACTGAATAATGAATCTTTAGGAGAACTTCTTACCAGCCTCGAAGTGACGGATGTCATATAATTCAATGTTTTTCATCAATAAGCAGACACGAGGTTGTTAATATAGAATTTATTAGAACACAATTGCTGACGTTT